TGCGTGCCTCTGTGGCCTATCTTAGCAAAGTACCATTACCCAGCATCCCTTGCTTTGAGGTTGGCCAACGGGAGGCACCAGCAGGGAGAGGGAATATTCTTTAGCTAATTTTAGAGCATTTTTAAATGTTTGGGGAGAGGGTAGTATTTCATACATGCATACAGGGTGTTTTGATCATGCTAACCCTCATTCCCCCCACTCAGTTCCCCTCTCACCTCCCCACAACGATCCCCTCACAGCTTCATGTGTTTCTTGTTTACCACCTGAGTGACCCACGGGCCGCCAAAATGTGTGTGGGCATAGGGCTATCTACTGAAGAAAGGGCTGCATCCTTGAAGAACACTGCCTCTCCTCTCCTTTCTGAGCGGCTCAGGTAGACCTTCATGTCTACTTCCCTTCTCCATGCTGGGATCTTGTCTGTCTTGAGCTTGCCGAGGTTTTGTGCCTGCTGTCATGCCTGCTCTGAGTTCCTACAGAACTCAGCTGCCCACACGTGTCCCGAAAACAGCTGTAGTCATCCGCCGCCTCTGGCGCTCACACACGCTGCAGTCTCTCTACTGCAGTGCTCTCTGTGCTTTGGGAGGGGAGGGAGGAAGTAGCTGTCCCATTTAGGACCGAGGGCTCCAGGCTCGCTCATTCTCGGCGTGTTGATCAGTTGTAGGTCTCTGGTAATCATTGTCTACTACACGTAGAAGCTTCTCTGATGAGGGCTGAGAGATGCATTTCGGAGTCAGTTTAATACCATGTCCATGTAGCATAATGGTATAGCAGGAGCTAGGGGGGGAGGATTTTAGTCGCCAGTCTTCCCAGAGCTGGCACCATTTGCTTGTTTTCATAGCTGCTGTCTAAGGGCCCTCTGCATCCGTGCTCTGCACTCTGCTGTGGCTGGTTCTAGACTTTACTGCTGGGTAGTTCTTCCTAAGATCACTGGGACCACCTCCTGCTCTTCCTGTATCACCAGGCGCCCCTGATGATGGGGGGGGGGGAACCTAATGTCCCAGGTGTCTTTCAGTAGCAAGCGGTAGAAACCTCAGACTCACTCCACGTCAAAGGAAAAAGTCTCAAGCTCCGTGGGTCCATCGGGAACCCCAAAGACAAGCTGCATAGTCAGGCCCTACTGGGTGGGATCAAGAGGACCAAGATGGCTTTTTTTTTTCCTGCCTGTGTGCTGCTGTTTGCCATTGTCTCTCTGTGTCTCCCATTTGTCTCCACAAGCCCCACCTCTCTTCGCCCATCTTTGTCTCTTCCTTCTGCATGTATCTGTTTCTCCTGGAATCGTCTCTCAGGGCCTGGATAAGACATTGAAGGATATACCTCTCCCTGGTATACCTTGTACTTACAGGGGCCTCAGGGTGAGGGGACCCAGTGTGTGCCTTGGGTATTGCTCACCCATCGTGGCCCACACCTTCCCCTTGTCCCCGTGACTCCCTCCTGGAGCTGAGCGTTTCCCTCAGATCTCTCTTTATTCCTATATACTTCAACTGCCTGACCTCCCTGCCTCTGGCAATGCTGGGAATTGGTGACTTCGTGCATCTCTGTGTGCAGCCTTCAGAATCTTCAAATCACAACACAGCTCAGCTCCTGACAGCCATCCATCCTTACCTTGTCCCATGCATCAGCTGTGGTCAGCATCTGCAGCTTCCCTGTCCCTCGGCAGGGACTTGAGAATAGAGATGGAACGGGGTGAAGAGGAACCTTTCAGGTCGCTGGTCCCTGAAGCATCTTTCCCTTCAATGAAGAATACAGTGCAGAAACAACTCTGACTGATCTTGCAGACTTCTTCGCCCCTGGGGCTTCTGGGAATTTGGGGGACCACAGACAGAGCTCACGGTGATGGCTGGAAAGGGTGGACTCACCAGCTCCCAACTCCATTGCACTATTCTCTAGATGCCTTTTGCTATAAGCTACCTCTGACACCCAGGTTCTTCCAGCTGTAAGACCTCTGCCCCACACACTCCCTTCCCAATTTGGGGTTCTGGTTTTAGATGGCTGCACTGTGTGTGGTGAGGATATTCTGTCAGATGCTTTGGAGAACTCAGGAGGCGTTAGGGAGGGGGAGGGCCAGCTTCCTTCCTGACTGAGGGAGGGGAGGGAGAGTAGTCTCTGTCTAGTGAGGGCCACAGACAATTGAGGAGCCCAGTGACTGTGGGGATGGAGAAGGCAGAGGCCCCGTGAGCCCCTGCCCTGTTTCTGGAAGGGCCTTGCTAGCCATATCACCCCTAGGCAGCTCCAAAGCAGCAGTTGGGGGGCAGAGGAATGTATCCCCATCCTGATAGGGAAGATGTGGTAAGTAAATGGGAAAGGTGGCTCAGGGTGGGTGGAGAGGCAGCCTGGGTGTATGTAGTCGGAGCTGCAGAATGGGGGCTCTAGACCTAAATTCACACCCTGATCCATGCCAGGACTACACAGGACTTCTACAGATTAGTCCCGGTCATCTAGATCTTGCTTCCCGCCACTGTGCTTCTGGAGGAGACAGGTACCACCCTCCCAACCCCGTGCAGACAGGCAGAGGCATCCCATGGATGTCAACTCAACCATCGAAGTCTATAGATAGAATCCGTCCATTCTCTACACTCAGTATTCCGTTCACTCAGCTGAGCCCATCGTCACTGACTGAGTGCCTGCTTAGGTACCCATTCTCCAGAAAAGAAGGGATGGCAAACGGTCACCTTCACTGACATAGAGTGGAATTCTGTAGTGGCACAGGGGTTCTATGAGGGGCATCTAAGGGGCCTTCCTAAAGGAGGTGACATTTACTCTTGAAGGATGAGAAGGAGTTTACCAAGTAGGAAAGGAAAGTCCCCTTAGTTAGGGTAGATGGTCTGACCAGCTGGAGGAGGGTGTGGCCTCCAGAGACAAAAGGATTGACAGGAGGGATTGATTGGCTCAGAGGGTGGACAGAATGGTCCACTGCTCTGGGGTCAAACTGACCTAGGTGACCTGTTAAAGCTGCAGCCACAGCCCCTGAAAATGCCGCTCCCAACTCTGGTCCAAGGCCTTGTGCAGGGGTCGGGGGGTGGGAATCCAGGTTCCGGGGATGGGACTACGTCTCCTCGGGCTGCTTAGGGGAAGGCTTGAAGCCCTGGAGCCCGGCAGGAGCAGGCTGCGCCCATGACCATGGCAGTTTGTGGGCAAAACCTCTTGGCAGAGGGGAGATTGCTCTGCCAGCCACTTCCTCCAGTTCCTTCCCTTTGCCTGATGTCACAGTTACCTCGGCCCGCTCTGGGGTGAGGCTGAGGTTGGGCGGAATCAATTTGAGCCAGGTTTCTGTACCTTAGACGCAGGTCAGCCAGAGGAGCTGTCACTTCTGGTTCAGTTTCAAAGGAGGCCAGGGGCCTGGGAGGTGTCGGGTGTGGTGGCATCCATGAGGGCACCGCTCCAGCAGCCTGCTGGGGGGGGGGGCAGTATGGCTTAGAGAGGAGCCTTAATGTGGTGATGAAGGAGGAAGTAAGCCATGCTGCCAGGGTCTGTTTCCTGGGCCAGCGCGTTGGCCTGGGTCCTCTCCTCGTGCTCTTGACGGTGCCAGAAGGGCATGCAGAGAGGACACTTATTTTCCTGGCTGATGCCCCTTTGGGCTGAGGCCTTGTCACAGGCTGTGCATTGCCAGAGTCACCCCTAACCTTATCCCACTCAAGAAGTGACAGAATTGGCAAGCCCAGAGCAACACCACAGCTTGTGGCCTCTGACTTGGAGCTGTCACCAGTCCAGCTGGCCCTCTGAGGCCTCCAGATCTCCCTGGTTGGCAAGAACAGCACAAGGCACCCCAACAGAATACCCCCGAAGGAATGTGGCTTGATTGACAGAGTGTTTGCCTAGCACGCAATCCCCAGCATCTAATAAATTGATTTGTGATGGCCTACAGCTATAATCTTAGCACTCAGGCCTATTATAAATTCAAGGTCATCTTTGGCTACGTAGTGAGCTGGAGAACAACCTTGGCTACAGAAGCCTCTGGTGGTTCTTCTTCTTCTTCTTCTTCTTCTTCTTCTTCTTCTTCTTCTTCTTCTTCTTCTTCTTCTTCTCCTCCTCCTCCTCCTCCTCCTCCTCCTCCTCCTCCTCCTCCTCCTCTTCTTTTTTAAAGGTTGAAACTGGTGAAATCCATCCAAAAGTTCAAGATCTGGCTCTGCTGTGGCCTTTGATAAAGTGGCCTTTTAAGTCTCAAACTTACTGTCTGCAAATCGGGACAGTAGCAGTCACTTGATCTTGTGATGTTTGTGTTGGGAGCATTTGCCAAAGTAGACAAGAGGTAGCTCCTGTTCATACTGACAGCGAAACCTTAGCAACTGCCAGTCAGGGAGGGTAAGGGTGTTGCTGCTCCTGAGTTAGGGGCCTTCCTTTATGCTCCCGAATTCCTTCCAGGGAGACAGGCTAGCTTGTAATCTCAGGGGACTCTGGGATGTGTCCTGGTACCTCCCAGCTGTCTCCCAGCTGGAGTCTTAGGAGAGGACTATAAAAAAGAGGAAGAGAATTCCAGTCAGGTGAGGGGACAGAGTCACTGTGACAGCCTGGGGAGATAGAGTAAAAGTTTGGGGGACCAAGAAAAGGAGCCACGTTGGCAGAAATGGGTGGTGAGAGTTTGAAATCCCAGCCGAAGAGGTGGAGTGAAGATTGTCTGGGAGGGGTGGGTACAGAATGGGAACCTGGTCTCTGCCCAAGGTGTTTTTAAAGGAAGTGCCTGGGAGCTGCTGGCCTGGAAAAAAATCACACCCAGAGGGCTTGTGCCAGGCAGAACGGGTTGCCCCACTCCCTTGCGGGGAGCTGCCTGCCTCAGAAACTCTGGCTAAGCCAGGTAGCCCTGCCCTTGGGGTGGGGGAACACTGGCTCCTCCCCAGGCTACCCACCTGCTCCGAGAAGTATCCTCCTATGACCAGGAGACAGAGGTGTTTGCTGAGATGTGGGTGCAAACGGGGGATCTGTCCCCCTGTCTGTCCATGTGTCAGGTGGGAAGCTGTGCCCAGGGCCACCCGTGGTGTCTAATCCGTGGCTCTGTGCCCTCACAGCTAGACGAGGAAGAAGAGCGAAGGAAAAGGCGCCGAGAGAAGAACAAAGTGGCCGCAGCCAGATGCCGGAACAAGAAGAAGGAACGCACGGAGTTTCTGCAAAGGGTGAGCAGGGTGATGGTGGAGGGGAGGCACCTTGGCCTTTGCAGGGGCCAATGCGCTCGGTAGTCGGGTGCATCATCAGACACGGCAACACAGAGAAGGAAGAAAGATCCATGTTTCCCACACACACACACTGAGCTTAGATCCTGGGTACTGATTGACCCAGTGGCCCAAACCTGGCAGTATCCATTTTGGCCCCCGTGGCTACCATGGTGTTAAGAGCACATGCTAATGAAGTAGGATGTTGGGGCAATCATGTCTGTGGGCAGTGGACTTAGCTCCTGGGCTGGCTACTAGGAAAAACTCCACTTATTGTAACGTCTTATCTACCGTGCATCCCCACCTGTCCAGCACTTAGTCCCACTGAAGATGACCTCTGAACTCTGTTGCTGCCTCCAGGGACCAGAGGTCTGATCTGAATGTGAGGTCAGGCTTCACGTACTGCCTTTGCCTCCCGCTATCAGCTGCCTTCTTACTTGTGATATGCCTAGCAGGGTGCTTGCTCTTTCTTCCCCTGGGTCCTGTGTCTCAGCCCCTGCTGCCTTTGTCTCCAAAAATGGTGGCCCTGAAGAGAGTGGAAAGCTGGATAGGCAGTCCCCAGGCATTCCCCCGGCGGTCAGCCATGCTCCACCCCCATCACTGGTTTGCCACTGAACAGTAATAGCAATGCTATATGCTAACTTAACCGGCAGGCATTTTTCTTCTGCGAGTCACCATAACGATGAGCCGTAGTCGTGAACGTTTGCAAAGCCAGGCACTGTTATCTCATTTTATTGGCAGAGTAGCCATGAAGATAGGGAGCTTCGTGGTTCGCTTTCTGCAGGCGAGGAAGGCACAATGAAGGTGGTGACCCACCCAGCTCTCTCAGCCACTGAAGGGTCGGACTGATGCCAAAGCCCGCTACTAGCCTCCAAACCTCTGGTTCTGGTTCTCAGGCTCCAGGGGTGTGCGAGGCTTGCTGTTAGGGGGGCAGAGCAAGAGTGGACATCGTCCTTCTTGCTATGAAGAGGTAAGGCTGGATTGGCCTGATGTTTTCCAACACTGGGGTTTGTGGTCCCATCTCAGTCTTGCAGAGAGCTCTTCTGGAGTCCCAGGTATGAACAGTGTGGGCCATGTACAGACCTCTCCCTAGCTGTGGGCACCCTGGGCAGGGAAGTGCCAATCAACATGACTGAATTGCCTACTGCTGGGAGGTCTTAAAGTGAGGGTATCATTCATCGGGTTTGAAGATACAGGCCTTAAAGAGGAGGCAGTTGGGTTTTTTATGTCCATCTATCGAGTACCCGATGGACAGAGCCAGGAGGTGCAGCCAGGCTTCTTAGGAGAAGCTGCCCACGCAACTCCAGCTACTTAGAGCTTTTCAGACAGTGGACAAGATGTGTTACACCAGGGACTCTCAGTGACACAGCAGCACACTAGCTAGTCAGCGCCAGATGGACGGCTTTTCAGCCTACTAACACTTGCTAAGCACCTACTGTGTGCCTAGATAGTTGTTGCCCGGTGAACTTGTCAAGCACCTACTGTGTGCCAGACATTTCACATGGTCACGACATTTTTCATAAGGTAACATTAATTATTTCCACTCTAGAAATTGGTCTGTAGTTCAGAGAGATCGAGTCGTTTGCCCAAGGCCACACTGCTAGCAGGTGGAGGGCAGAGACTCATCTATCTTTCTGTCTAGCAGGTGATAACCAAGGGCCCCTGTACCATGGGTCCGTGGGCCCCGTTCTCAGTGGGTAGCATATGGCAAATGAGGAGCGGTAGCTAGTGAGGAATGTTGTTTCAGGAGCCTAGAGTGCTGTGGGGACTTCCAGTGCTGAGAATGGACTGAGAGAGCTATTCCATTGGTGAGACAAAATAAGGGAAGGCAAGGCTGGGCGGTGGTGGTGCGTGCCTTTAATTCCAGCACTCGGGAGGCAAAGGCAGATGGATCTCTGTGAGTTCGAGACCAGCCTGGTCTACAAGAGCTAGCTCCAGGACAGCTAGGACTATTACATAGAGAAATCCCATCTCTAAAAATAAAAACAAAACAAAAAAAATGGGGAAGGAAGTAAGAACGTGGGTTTGAAGGGGGCATCAGAAGCAGCATGTACGAAAGCAGGTGCTGCTATTTAAGGGTGTGTTCAGAGAATTAAAAAGAACGTTATCAGTGTAGCTGGAGGTTAGCTTCCCACGTGGAAGGAAGTTGGGACAGGCAGACCCAAAGCCTCATTTTTAAAGATATCCTACATATTGGCTTGTCTGAAATAGACCGGTGTATCCCTCTTGTCCCGCCCCCATTATTAAGACACCTTCTTCCCCTCTCATGAGTGTCCCCATTACATGATACTAACCATGGTCATGGGGAACCACGACAGGATGCAGGAGGAGAAAGGTGCCAGCCCATCAGAGGAGTCCGCTGGGTTGGGGCAGATGAAATACTATTGTGTTGTCCCAGGAAGAGATGTGGCTGCCATGATGGAGGAAACTCTGTGAGCTTAGATCTGGAGAGCAACACCACATGGACTCTGGCCCAGTCCCTCTTCCTCGCCATCTGAGGCCTTGGAGGAGAAGTCTTGATGTGACCACTGTGCTGGCCATGCCTGCAGACCCGAGTGACTCGTGGAACGTAGCTTTTAACCCTCACCCTTGCCAAAGAGACAACCTCTGAGAGGGTTCGCCTCTTTAGATCAGCCAAGGCCTGAATTTGGGCGGGCACAGGCCTGATGGGTCAGTTCACACCCCACAGACCCTGGGCCTACCCCAAAGCCTCCGTCTGCAGCCTAAGGTGTCTCTCTGCTATGATGCTGGCTGCTGCTGTGCCACTATACCCAGCACAAGGTCCTCCGGCCCTGGAGGCAAGGAGACCATTTTACATTCCCAAGATACTCTGTGCTCTCCCTAGGTGCTTTCCTCCTGGTGGTAACATTGACCCTGGAAGGATGAGAAGGGACCCCTCTGCTGGCAGGTTTCTGAGGGATGAGTGGGTGGCCTCCCATGGGAAGAGTTCTTCACAGTAGCTAGCATAGCTAGCAAACAGCCAGCGTTTAGCCCAGACACAAGCTGCTTCCCAGCCCTTAGAAAAGTTGACGAAACTCGCTTTTATGTCCCCTAGGACATTTTGAAATATAAAGTCAGGGCTGGATGTGATGCATATGCCTTCCCAGCACTCAGAAGGCAGAGAATCTCTGAGTTCAAGGCCAGCCTGGTCTACAGAGCAAGCTCCAGGACAGCCAGGGCTACACAGAGAAACCCTGTCTCAAAAACCACAATGAAAAAGAAAAGGTTAGTGATGCTGTGACAGACAGGACAAGTTGCCCTAAACCTCACCTGTTTTTGTGACACAGATGTCCACAGCAGGGATTGAATCTCCACTGTTGTTGGTTCGGAGGCTGTAGATCTATGTGGTGTTGAGTGCTATGACGTATTCTTCCATTCGGTTTTTGTTTGTTTGCTTTTTAACTGTTTTGGGTTTGGAACACAAGGACAGGGTCTCATATAGACCTGGCTGGCTTCAAGCTTACTGAGTATCCAGGACTGGCCTTGAACTCCTAACTTCCTGCCTCCAACTTCTGAGGGCTTGAAATACAAACCTATGCTGCTATATTGAGTTAGCCATGTCCAGCGTGAACTTCAGGCACACTGTAACCAAGGCCAAACTCCTTCCAGGCCCCATTTGGCACCCTCCAGCCCAGCTCCCCTCTCAGGCTCCGATCTAGTGTCCACGCGGCTGTTCCCCTCTGCCCTGCCTCCTCTGTTATCTAAACCCAGGCTTTCCTCAAAACTTGCTGACCTGAAGCATCTTTATCTTCCTGCCCAGAGGTTAAAGGGAGACTCCCTGATGCCCCTCGAGCCCTTTGGTTTCCACAGTGCTTTCTCTGTGGGAACTCTCCTAATCCCGGGGATCATCACTTCTCAACGGACAAGATAACTTGCTTAAGACTGAGTCTAAGCCTGCGGGGTTTGCATAGCTGCCCTCTGGCTCTGCCTTCTCCGCCCTCTCCACTGTGAACCCAACTGTGTCCTAGAGAGCTGAGTGCAGTGGTCCCTGGTTATCTCTTCCCACATGGCAGCTTGCCCCTGTCACTCCTCTTGCCTGAGGGTTCTTACCCAGATGCCCTTCCCTACCCGCTCAGCTATCTGGAGGCAGCTGCTCACCCTGCTGTTAGTAATGCCTGTTGGTCTCCTGCACTCTGAATGGCTGGTCACTTTGGGGGGCCTTGCTATGTGCTGAGTGGACACCCCTCAGGAACCATAGGAGGAACAGTTCACAGGCTTTGGATTCCCCAAAGTGTTTATCACCAGGGCAGGCCTAGGCATATCCTCAGAGGTAGGTAGATGGCCCTGAGGCTTCTCAATACAACGGCTGAGGACAATCTGAAGATTGTGTTAGCAGTTTGGGTTGGAGGAGGTGGGGAGGATGGCAGAAACACTAGCCATCTCTCAGAGTTCTGAGAAGTGTGGACCAGGCCTGCATTCCAGTCTTGTCTTAGCCTGTCCCAATAAAAGCCACCATAGACACTTTTTGGGTTTTTTTGGGGGGGGGGTTTCCCCCTTAGCATTTCTTTTCTCTTTTTTGAAACTGTCGCTTTGGGGGTGTGATCCTAATGGCTGCCTTCCTCTGCTGTTCTGAGCTCTCTGGGAGCCCGTGCAGCCACCTCAGAGATGTGCATAAGAAACAATCCCGACCTGGTAGTGCAGGGAAGATGCCCCCCTCACTGGAGGTGTGGGGACTCCACGGAAGGCCCAGGGTCTCAGAGGGAGGCCACCCCAACTGCACCCCACTGGGCAGAAGCACTGTTCACTCAGCATCCGTACCGTTGGCGTTTTGAGCCAGAATGTCCTTGTGAGGGCCGCCTTGTGTGTCACAACCACAGATCTTTATTCTCCATTCCCTTCCTGCCAGTGAAGCAGCCTCAGCCAAGAGAGCCAAACCCTTCTCCACACCTGGGGACAAGGTCGTTTCTGCGGAGAGCTCGCTGGCCTGAGGCGCCTTTATTCACACATGAGGAGAACTTGCAGTTACGGGCTGTAACTGAAAAGCAGGAAGGCCCATTGCTGTGCTCTTTGATCCTACTGTGCAATGGTCCTACTGTGTGAGCCCCAGGCCTAGACCAGGCATGCTTGTCACCTCTCCCCAGTCTGAACACACAAGCCCACACCCACACCCCATCACACCCTCAGCATCCCTTCCTCTCCCCAGGGTTGGGAGTGTGTAGGAAATCTCATCTGGGACCAGTTTGAAACCTCGTTTGGGGTCCAGCAGGTTGCTTGTTGATTGTCTCTCTGTGGGCGAGACTCCTAGACTCTGGGGGATCCTGAGGGAAGAGGGGAAAGTTTTAAGTAATTGCAAGCTACTGGCCGGGAGGCACACGATGGAGGAGGAAAGGCCCACACTGGGTTTATCAATCCCAGCATCAAGACTATCCCATCAGATATTGCAACGTAGCAAAGCTCTTCTTGATTTTGTGCTGCCACCTGTGGGCTGCCTTGGACTACCTTCACGGACCTGCTCCAGTGTCACCTGGCTCCCCACCACACACACCTTTTTTTGGTGCAAAGATCTTGTTGCAGGGAGCATTTGGGTATGTTTTCTAGTCGACAGCAAGGGGGCCATGAGGCTGGAGCGGCTAGAGGGAAGGGAGCAAGAAGGGCTCTGAGTTGGACTATTCCCTACATGTCTGGACCTGCTGTGGTAGAGGTCATTACCGCGCGACAGGGCACTGCCCGCAAAAGGTCATTTACCCCCAGATGCTTCCGTGGGACTGGCAGGCAGAAAACCATGCCAGCAGGACAGGTGCCGGCCAGAGTGTCTGGGTACTCCTAGGGAGCAGGCTGGCAGGGGCGGCTGACAGTGTGTGTCTGTCTGCACAGGAGTCAGAGCGGCTGGAGCTCATGAACGCCGAGCTGAAGACCCAGATAGAGGAGCTGAAGCTGGAGCGGCAACAGCTTATCCTGATGCTCAATCGCCACCGCCCCACCTGCATCGTGCGCACAGACAGCGTCAGGACACCCGAGTCAGAAGGCAACCCGCTGCTGGAGCAGCTGGACAAAAAGTGACTGAAGACTTGGAGGAGGCTTCAGAGGATGGGGAGGGGGGACGGCAGAAGGAGAAGAGGTGATGGAGGTCTCCCCCTGGGCGCATGACAAACTCTACCATGAGGCTTGGCATAACTGGCCTCCAGCCGGCTCCTTTCTGAAACTCAGCCCAGCCACGCGAGAGCAAGAGCAGACTGAAGAAACCAGAGGGACCAAGCGACAAGACCAAAGTTGACCCGCAGGTAGGGGCTGTCCCACTCCAAGGCCCAGCTTGAAGGGTACCTCAGCCAGAGAGATGCCCAGCCAGGTAGCCTCCTCAGGCGCTCCTCTGGCCTCTCTGCCGAGACCCCCCCACCCAAAGGACTACCGAGCAGCCGAGAAAAGCCATGCGTCCCAACACACGGTGTGGCCAAGGATGGAACTCAGTGTGGACTGCAATCCACCCTCCCCAGCCCTGCCCAAGCCCGGTGGAAAGGGGTGCACTGCGGGCGGGGCTGTGATGGCCCTGCTGGAGTTTGCTGTGGCACTGAGGCGCGGGCGCCCTCCCAAAGCACACAGTCGATGAATGTTTACAGACTGGCTGTCCTGGCGGGGCTTCCAACTGCACACCTTTTTTTTATACTTTCTTTTTTTTTTTTTAATATTTTTTACAAAAAAAAGATTTTATACGAGCAATATATATATGGATTTCTATAATCACTCGATTGACACAGTACAAATACGCTATGGTCTGTCGTTAAGGACATCCACCCTCCGGGTACAGCCGTTGTAATTCCTAAGTACTGTAGGCTCTGGGTGTTGAGGGGTGGTGGCCAGGCGGTGGGGGTGCATTTGCATCCTTGTAAACCCTTCCTAGTACTCAGTCCTGTATCGCTCAGTAAACATTGCTCTAATTACTCAGCTGCCTCGAGTGGTGTCTGCCCAGGGAGAGGGCATGCCCAGGGCAGGAGGCGTTGGGAGTACTTGCCATAGCTGCCCTCCCAGGTAAGCCTGAATATGCCCATGTCTCAGATGAGGAGGCGAAGGCCTAGAGAGGTTAAAGAACTCCATCCATTACCCGTTTTGAGAGTACTCGCTTCATTTGTTTAGGCCAAAACTTTTTAATATTTATTTTTATTATTTTTAATTGTGTGTGTATGTCTTTGTATGATATATGCAGAGGTTAGGGGATTTAGATCCCTCTGGAGCTGGACTAACAGGCACTTGTGAGCCTCCTGATGTGCTTGCCGGGGACTGAACACGGGTCCTCTGAAAGAGCACTATATACTCTGAACAGCAGAACCGTCTCTCTTCAGCTTCCACAGAAGCTGCACCGTTGAGTGGGCCACGCACTGCAATGAACGGAACCTTTGCTGGGGAATAAACAAACCTTGGTCTTGCCCCATAGAGCCCACACTGGGGTCATCTTATACTTGCTTACTTGCTTCAAACCCAACACCCTTCTTCATCTGCATGGCAGCTGTGTCAAAGGGGCAGCCACTGGCCCTAGTTCATAGATGGGGATTTGGAGACCCAGGGAGACAAGATGAAGCCACCACTTGTTGAAGTCTTAACTGCATGACAAACATGAGGTCACTTTTACTTCCTACAACAGCACAGAGCAGATCCCCCTCTCAGACAGATGGCTTAACTAGGGCTCAGAGAGGGCACATGACTTACCTAGGGTCACTCAGCTCACAAGAAACAGAGCTGGTATTGTAACTCCACCTCTAGAGACACATCACCGGCTGTCTCTGATTGTCCTTATGGATGAATGCCACACCCCTGGGAACAGGAAGTTTAGAGGCCACCATTAGAGATATAATTTGGGAGAGAGCTGTAGACTCTGGAGAGTTGTAGGTTGGCCCGTGGTGGTGTAGTGAGCCAGCTCTCCCAGCAGAGGTGTCCATGACCTAGAGACACATATGTCTCTCATCCCCACAGTCAAATTTCCTGTCCTGTAGAGTTGGGGCAGCCCAATGCCATTCATACAGCAGATGCCACTTGCTCCACACGTGACCATGTGCAAGGCACAGCTCGATGTGCTGTCTGCTTCTGTGAGGGTTCAGCCAGGCCAACAAGGTGGTTGCTGTCAGCTCCCTTCCACCCAGAGGCTCACCAAGCTCACAAAGTCCCCCAGCTTGAGAGAAGTGGGATGAGTGTAGACTCTACGCTGATCCTGCCTAGAAATGTTTCTTCTGGGGCCCGGGAACTTCTTGATATTGAATCTTTGTGTCAGTGACCTTGAGTGGCCTCTCAATCATTGATGAGGCATCTGGGACGGATGGAAATGGAAAATAGGTCACTAATAAACAGTTGGTCCCCCTCTTCTTCCCCTTGTGTTCCCTCCATCCGACTTGCCTGGTGTGGTCTCTCTACCCAGAGCCGCAGCCTGGAGATAGAACCTGGCCAGCTCCCTGTCTGATATGGCAGCACACAGTAATAACCCGTCACCTGGGTTTCTTTAGCACTGTCCAGCCAGGAGAGTAAGGAAAGTGAGACTTTGTAAGAGCCCTTCAGGAGGCCTATAGATGCCCCTGCAGGGTTGCTGTCCACCCCAGGCCGTGGCTTCTTTAGTTTCCTGCTGGGAAGCCAAGACCTGGACTTTCATAGATCCAACCCTTTGTTTTTTTGTATGTTTATTTGTTTTTGTTTTTTAAGACAGGGTTTCTCTGTATAACAGTCCTGACTGTCCCGGAACTAGCTCTTGTAGACCAGGCTGGTCTCGAACTCACAGAGATCTACCCTCTGCCTCCTGAGTGCTGGGATTAAAGGTATGTGCCACCATTGCCGGCCTGATCCAGATAGGTTGTGTGAACTTCTTCCTGCTCTTGCCATGGTAGCGTTCTCCTTTAGTTGTACGCTTGGCTTCACCACCGGAGCCAGCTCTAGGGTGTCTCCTGTGGTTCACGCAGCTTGTCTGGGAGGTCCATGCAATAGTCTCAGAAGGACAAGGCAGAGAGAGGATCTAGGGTGTCTCCTGTGGTTCACGCAGCTTGTCTGGGAGGTCCATGCAATAGTCTCAGAAGGACGAGGCAGAGAGAGGAGGGACCTCGCCCAAGGTCACAGACCTGTTAGGTAGTGACAAGATGCTATTCTTAGCTCCTCTGGTAGATAACAGCTGGGCCCGCGCCTCCCTGGGAAAGGAAATGGTCTGAGCTTAATTTGTCTGCAATGAGACCTCAGCTGCCAGAGCATCACGGCAGCAGGCAGAAGCGATGGCGCAGAGCCTTATGGGTTCACAGCACACACCGGGTCGCCAGCTCTTGTGCCCATCTACAGAGGAGAGCTTTGTGTTTCCTTACCTGTAACGTGGGGCAGTAGGACCCTAATCTTTTTTATGGGCATGTTCTTAGGATCAAAGAAGGAATGGAGGTAAATGAGCAGTATCCTGCCCTCTGTTGGAGAGGCCACTTGGTATTTATCACAAAATTATTTGACTATCTTTGAGTCTCTAAAGGCCGGCTGCGGAGTTTGCATTCTAACCAGGGCTTGTTGTGTGATGTGATGGAAGCCTGGGATCCAAGGCTCCTGGGCTCCTACAGCTGTGTTGGGTTCATCATTCCCTCCCTGAATGTCCAGGATGAAGCAATTGAGTTGCGTGCAGTCACAGCCTGAAAGGCAGGTGAGACACATTTGCCATCACCAGAGAGAATGGCTGAAGGAAGCTTCCATCCTCTGCAGGTGGGACTCTGGGGAGAGCAGTGTCTATCGCGGTGCCGTGACCTGTGGTGACAAAGCAGTTTCCCACCTAAGACTGGTACTTGGGAGAAGTTCTGTCCCAGACTCCCCAAAATGCCCAATAATCACCACTGAGACTGCTGTGCTAAAAGAAAACCAGGGGTCACCTAATCACCGTGAATGGTGGACAAACAAATGATGGTCTTTCACAGAATCACGTGTTAGCCCTTAGAATGAGCCCCTGCTACGCCCATGGTTAGCCATCTATCCATTGGGATGAATCTCGGAAGCGGTCGGGAGCTGGAGGGCAGGGGAGCAGATACAGAAGGTTGGAAGGTGTGGCGTGTTTCTCAACATGTAAATGGATACGTTCTTAAGGACATACAGAGATGGTAGCAGACAGAGCAGCAAATGCAAGAATGCTATAAATACCCAAACCAGGGGCTGGGATTGACGTGGGGTGGGCAGGAACCAGCGGGGGATTCTCCAAGGGTAAATAGGACACCAGGTTTCAACTGTACGTGTGACCGTTTCTTCGCTTTTAAGCATGACCATCAAATGTACAGTAACTCCAGACTTGCCAGAGGTGCTCAAGGGCACAGTTTATATTCCTTTTGCTCCTTTGTCTGGTTCAAGTTTCCTGGTAAAAAGAGCAGATCCCAATTCAAATAGAAGGTTTGGGTCCTCCCCCCCCCCCCCATTATTTCCTTAGCAAACTCAGGAAATAAAAGCCACTCTGAAATTTCAACGGATTGCAACACTTGGCTCTGACTTTATGCAAGTTCAGTTGCATGCCTAGAGGGAAAGAGAAGCACTTCAGAGTGTGTGAATCTAGTTGGCCCTGCCCTGGGGAGAATGCTCTGCGGGTGTTACCCTGGAGAGTTGCCTCTGCCCTGGCTCAGCAGCTCCCGGTGCCTGAGCACTGGGGTGGGCAGCTAAGGTGAATGCAAAGTTGATTCCTGCCCCCTCGATGCTTTCCTTCCCTGCTGGCTTTGCAAACCCATCCCCTGGGCAAAGACTCCACTCTGCCCCTTCGGTAGGGAAAGAATAGGGTGGGGGCAGCCTTTGAAAGACAGAACTCAGTGGGTCCTGGTGCACGGCTTCTTGCTGCTGCTGTGACGTTACACCAGGGGAAATGGCTTCAAGCAACACATATTTTATTATCCCACAGCTCCGGACTTCAGAAGTGCGAAATGCTTCTCACTGGGCTAAAGCTAAGGTAGTGACAGGACTGTCCCTTCTGGAGACTCAGGGAAAATCCATGCTTTTCCAAAATCATAGTCCTTCCTCTCCCATTCCAAAGCCAACAATAATAGGTACACATGTCCTTTCATGCCCAAGCCCCCTAATAGTGACTCTTTTTCTTTTCACATCTGTCTTTGTCTGGTGTGAGTGTACACGTTCACTACGCTGATGTCTCTCTCAGTCACTCTCCATCTGACTCTGAGACTGGATCTCTCACCAAGGCTGAATCTCACCAGTTCTGCTGGAGTTGCTGGCCTGCCAGCCCCCAGGATTCTCCTGTCTCTGCCTCCCAGTGCTGGATCACAGGCATGTGTAGATGTGCCTGCCTTTTTATGTGGATGCTAAGGATTGAACCCAGGGCCTCCTGCTTGCACAGCCCTGAGTTCACAAACTGAGCCACCTCCCTGGGCCCCATCTACTGCCTTGTAAGGACCCTTGTGATGACATTGTCCCCACCGAGATAATCTAGGACAATCTCTTTGTTTTTAAGACTGGTTAACAACCTTATCTTCAGCAGGGCATTGGTGGTGCAGGCTTTTAATCCCAGAGTTTGGGAGGCAGAGGCAGGCAGGTCCCTGTAAGTTCAAGGTCAGCCTGTTCTACAGAGTGAGTTCCAGGAAAGCCAGGGCTACACAGAGAAACCCTATCTCAAAAAACCAAAAACCAAACCAAACCAAAAATACCCACCTTACCTACCTGTGCCACGTTAGCTTCCCAGGCTTATGACATCAGGTTCCAAGGATTAGAATGTGGCCTTCTCTGGGCTGGCCATTATTCTGCCTGTGACCCAGGAAATGAAGACTTGGAGATCCTTCCTGCTACCGGCAAGACAGGCTACATTCCCTGTGAGCTCCACAAGACGTGTGGTTTACCTCCACCCACCTGCTCCCAGTGCCTGGCATTCAGATCTGCGAGACAAAACAAACACAGGAGCCTGGCCCGACACAGAGATAAATGCACAGACCACCTAGACACATCCATCTAGTCA